TTAACATAAAGCAAACCTGTGAGATTGCTCTGCAGTATCTGTCAAGCATTCCAATGCCATTCCAATTGTCTCTTCTTTCTTTCTGTTTTTTTTCCTGGAGAAATGGACAAATTTTCAAAGAGCGCCTGGGGCTGCAGACCCCTCATATATTTTTTATCTCCCATGAGTGCCTCCAGGACTGATGTGACATTGAAAAACATTCTTGAAAACAAAGATTACATTTGAGGCCTGGCTTTAGAATGCACCATCTTTTAAGTTTGCTTTTAAATTAAAAAATATTGTTAAAAAATAAAACTGGGGAAGAGGGAATCTGGTAGATATACTGAAGCACCTGTGATCTGGATGCTAAGCTTCTAGGCATTGGCGAAAATTTGAAGTAAGATATGGCTTACTTTTCAAGAATTTCTATTGGTTCTTTTTCAGATCTTAGAGAAATATATGCAGTACCATATGTCTCACCAAACAGTCTTGAGAGAGCAAACTTCAAAACATGAAACAGTCATGTCACCTTCCCCTCAATGCTTTGATCTAGCTTTGAACAACCTGGAAGCATCAGGTAATTCTAAACCTAACAGGCATCTAAGAGACAGAGTGAAAGGAACTGCATTTAAAAATTATCCCTGCAGATAGTTATTTATATAGTGTAAGATACACTATATGTGATATCCACCTATTTGCATTCTAAAATGGACGGAAACGGCGCTAGTTATAGCAATAGCACTTAGACTTAAATTCAACTCCATAATGCTTTATTGCCCTCTCTAAGCAGTTTACAGACTCAGCATATTGCTCCCAACAATCTGGGTCTTCATTTTACTGACCTCGAAAACATGGAAGGCTGAGTCAACTTTGAGCCAAATCCCTGGCAGTCAGCAGAATTAGCCTGTAATACTGCATTCTAACCACTAACCACCATGGCTCCAAGAATAAGAACAACCATGCAGCAGCACTGTTTGACTGCAATAAACTTTGTCCATTTATTTATCCCGTTAACCAGAGCTGCCAGTCTCCTGAGAGAAGTTGAAAGCCCACCAAAGGTGACCAGTTGGAAAGTTCAACTGCTCGGTCTTTGGATCATTAACACTATTTGTTAGGTCAAGCCATATCCCAGAACACCTATAGCTGAAATTTCAAGTATTTGTTCTAAAACTAGAAGTGGCATATTAAGTATACCCTGTAGATTTGAGGAATGTTGTTTGACATCAAAGAAGAATCACAGTTGCTTCATGCACAATTGTGAAACCTAGAAAGTATGGTAAAAGGTCCCATGTCTACAAAAAGATATAAAATATTAACATTTTACAACTGAAGGGTCCTCAACACTCCAATTTTTCCAAACTTTTTGCAAATTTTCATATTCCTGAAGTCTCCTGAAATATTAAAAGTGATGTTACAAATGATATTCTGTATTCATGAGATCTTCTAAACTGTCTACTTACAAGTGTGGCTATTATCATATGTAGATAGATATTATCTGAAAAATGGATAACAACAGTTCACTAAGTTCTTGCACTTCATTATTTGGAGAACAATTTGATTATTTAGACTTAACCATTTTGGGGGGAGGGAGACAAAATTGAGAAATTGAGGTTATGTTGTTATGCTTTTGCATTATTTTACATCTTTAGGTGACTTCATGACCATAAATTTAACTCTTTCAATTGTACGCTATATAAGATGAATCTAGCAAGCTTGATTCAGAACATCAGAAGAATCCATCTATTAGGTGGACAACACTGCTGCATTGTACATGACACATTTTAAAGATTTATTTTGGTTTATCTTAAAATAATTGGTTACCTTCCAAAATATGACTGCAATATTTAATTTCTCAATTGGGAGTCACAACTAGGAAATTTTATACTTGAAAGAAAACCTAACTCTTCAATCATTCCAACTGTTTTTTAAGACCACCAGTGTTCCAAGACCACTTAGAAAACTATGGGAGTAATCTTGATAATAATTCACATACAGTTATTGAAGCACAGGAAACGAAACCAGATGGCTTTGCTGAAGAAAGCATTTTAATTTTTTTTTTTTTGCCTTTATAGCTTTCTGACACTAAACACTTCTCACACTAACAAATACAAAAATGGGTATAGAGGTTTGCTTGATTTTGTTTTAAATCCCATTATTTCTATTTGGGAGGTTTCTTTCAAAAAAGGCAGCATCTTACAGGAGCTATGGAACAGATGAATATAATTTTCTTGAAGAAAAGGAAGCTATTAGTAACACCTACTTGTAGACATAACTGCAATGCTTTGCAAATGAATGCCATATGATTTGGATTAGAAAGAGCTCTTGTGTATTATTATGAATATCACTTTCTTGCCTAAATTAAACACTTTCAAATAGAGGCTTTATTTATGTCAAAATAACCACTGCCTACTTTTTTACTTGTAGTCTCGTATTGCCAACTAACACATATCCACCTATATAATTTTTGTATTACTTTGTCAAGGAATATTATTAAAGCTCATCACAACAAAAGGTAGTTTGCATGAACAAATAGTGCCAAAGATTACTGCTTGTTTCATTTATTCCAGCATGTAATGTGGCAATGTGAAAAAATATTCATTCCCTCACTTTCAGTCAATTCAGTGAAGAGGATAAATAGGGACATTTGTATAAATACTTCATTAAAATATCAGGGCTATTTGCAGCCAGGCTTGCCTTTTAAAATCTCACAACTCTGTCTCCCCTCATAGCATGAAGTTCTCAACACACAGATTCTAAAGGTGTATCAGTCAAAATAAATTTCTGAAGACATCTGTAAAACATATTGATAAATATAAGTGTCAAGAGATTAGAAAACCCATTTTTAAAGCTCTGGAGCTCCACTGAACTACACCTAGAGACATAGCTACTAAATAAAGAAGACATACTTAACAACTACAGTCATTTGCTTAAAAACTGAAGGAAAAAAAGTGATAAAATTGGGTGAGATTCACTTAGCACCTGAAATTCTGGTCCTAATTGTGCTTGTAATTCGAGGACTGCCTGTATACTTACTGTATAGAGGTAATATAATTAACTATTAAAAACTGGAATCATATCATTAAAATGGAGGACCTTTAAATTTTAACATGGCCGTGCATTTAACATCATAACCACAGGGATTATTTTTAAAAACATGTCAATGATTACAGATACAATGCATTGCTAAAATGTTAAAAATGATCATTATAATAACTAAACATACCAATAGTTTTATATTAAACTAAACATCCTTCATTTGGTTTTCTTATAGCATTTTAAGTGCATATATTTTATTTACTTAATGATTTAAAACATTTTTATACCACTTCAGTTGGGTGAGTGGCTTTTGAGAGATAGTTTGGTGCAGTGGATAAAGCATCAGGTTAGAAACCAGAAGACTGCAAGTTCTAGTTCAGTCTAGTCAAAGCACAAATCTAGATAGATGATCTCAGGCTAGTCATTTTCTCTTAGTCCTGGAAAGGAGGCAAACCACTTCTAACACACCTTGCCAGGATAAGTGCAGGGATTTGTCTAGGTGTTCTCTGAGAATCAGATACAATTGAATGGAAGAAATAAAAAGGGACTTACAAGTATATAGAACATAAAACATCTGCTGGGACATTAAAAAGTCCTAAATTTAACTGGAAATGGAATAAACGGTTTTAAATCAATAATCCCACTAGAAGGAGACATGCAGGATTTGAGTCCCTTGTATATAGCACCAAATATAATTCACTGTTACATATGTTACATGAGGGCTAATTTGGAATAGTACATAAGGCAATTATCCATTTGCCAGTAATTCAGTTGATTTTAGAAATTCCATTTTAAATTAATGCAGAATAATGGGTAAAACCTACTTGCAAGGCTTATGCCTATTCCAGGTACAACATCCAAAGCGTAGAACATAATATTTTAACAGAAATATTGTTCCATAGTTTTCTATCAACTTGAGTTTAAGCATGCTAGCTCTGTCCTGAGCAAGGACATAAATAAGATCATTTCAAACATTGTGTCCAAATATTTAAATGTTCAGTGTTGGGGTTTTTTTTTAGAAATTACGGTTAGCTTATTTTATGGCTAACATCGAATCACTTATACCCGTAGAATATAGACAGATGTCATGTTTGTAAGAATAGTTCGAAGAGCAAGCAGGGGTAGATTGAAAAGATCTGATCTGAGCAGCTTTTTATACAAGTTGGATTTTAATAACTATTAATTTTAATTATTAATTATATTTTAAAAATATGCTGTACATCTCTAATAGATACTTCTCACCGACAGATTCTTTTGGTTGACATGACTACATATGAAAATGCAAGTTATATGGTAACAAATATGCTTTCCTAATTGTCTTAATGACAGGCATTGCAATTAGATCTCTACATATGTGGATCATATAGGTTATTCATCTTCTGATTATACAGCTATATAACTTACACTGAAGAAATACAGAAGTTCAAATAATTTCATAACCCTATAAAAACAGATCGGCACCAAAGAAACTATTCAGCACAGGTGACCTTTTAAAGAAAATATGAACTCTACAATAGGTCATGTTAATGACAATTTTTCCTGAATGGTTTTAACAAGAAATATTAACCATTAACAATATTATAACCATATCGGAATCAAAATTAGAATGATTTTCTGAGGTTAACATTAGCCTTGTTTTTCTCATTACCATAAGATTCCAAAGTATAGACAAGATCTCAAAAAAATTCATTGCATTTCAATCTCCTGATCGCAAGGAAACAAAGAAACAATATGTTGTTGCAGCAGAAGAGGTCTTTTTATTTTTTATTCCTTCCCACAGGAATTAAATAAGGAATGTGAACCTGAAGACCTTCTTTATATGTTCAGGTTATGCATATAGTAGCATCCTATGTCTTCTTCAGGCAGCCAGGGAGAAAAGCTAGATTTAGAAGCAGATGCCTTCAGGCCATACTTTTACTTTTAAGTTATTGCAGTAAGTCCCACAAAGGCCTTGTTTTAAAGTAGGCATTTTAGCAATCACATACCTCAACATAGTCCTTGGCATGACCCCAGTCTCTCTTGGCATCTAAATTTCCCAAACTGAAGCATTCCAATTGTCCCAGATGGATCTTAGCAACCGAACGACTAATCTTTCGAGTTACAAAATTGGCTCCTAAAATAGAGATAAAATAAGGAAATTAAAAATTATCTGATAAATATCCTATAACTAATCCTAAAATTGCAGATTATGACAATCTTTTCAGACTGGTCTCCTTGTTTCAATCACTTAAGTGTATTTGTACTTTATCACATGATTGCCAGCACATCAATCACATTAGCTCTGCTTCCTCAATAAATATCTTTCTTTGAAGGCAGCCTTAGATGGAAGCTTCGGTGTTCGGAATAATTTATTTGAGGCAAAAAAATATTTCAAGCATTAAGTTTCCAGAAACACAATATAAAATAGGGCATCAGTCAAACGACTGAAGAATCTTGTCAGTGCATAAATGTGTATATGTTAAAGAAGGCACAACAATCATCCTTATTTCTTGCAATTATTTGAAGCAGAATCACCCCCAAAGTAAAGTTCTATCCTCTTGATGATGCCATCTAAAGGCAGAGAACTTTGATTCACAAGGTTAGAAAAGTTAATTATTTTGCATACAGATTTGCTAGGTTAATTTATAAAGTAGACTTGTACAGAAAAGTAGGCTCTGTTCATAGAAATGACTATAGAATATCGGTAGACCTTGCTTAACCTTGGTACCAACCATTCAAAATCACGACAATGCTGAAATGCTGAAAAAATAACTTTGCAACCAAGGTGCGTTCTCTCTCAATTATGTGTTTATCATTATAGTCAGTTGATATACACTGTCCTATGTCTGACCCATTTCCTCACCTCTCCCCACCGAATGGAGAGATTGCCTATAAAGCAATTTCTTTAGGCAATCTCCTCTGTGCCTAATGTTGCTTTTCTCCCTCTTGCAGAGTGGAGAGGTTGGATAGGAAAGGATTACAAGAGAGTAAGCAGGCACATCATGGGGAATAAACGGCTGATTGTTTAGGGTTCTTGTGGCCGATATAAGTTGCAGTGATCTTTAAAAACTTGGATCTACTTGGGTGAATCACAACTTTTATTTTGCAATCATTACTTCTTCAGGGAAAATTAAAAATGTTAGGAAGAGGAGTTCATACTATCAGTCCACATACTATTGATGTATCTGATACACATGTATCTGAATCCAAAGCAACTAAATAATTATGGGCATAATTATCCTAAAATAACTAATGTAAAAAAATAAACAAAAACATTAGAAATACATTTGCCACATTAGTAAAATTTCTGTAGTCCAGAACCAGATGTTGAATAGACCCAGTTCTTGAGCTTTAAGATTTGATTGACTGATTGTTTATATGTCACCAAGTTATTTTCAAGTCCTACTTACAAAATAGGTTTTTTTCCCCATGACAACCTATCCCAAATGTGGTCTTTCAGGACTGCCAAAAGCACAGTCATTGCTACCACTAGTGTAATTGTGTCCCTTATCTGCTTCTTTTCCTTCAACCGCTTCCTGTATTGCAGCCTTTTCAGGAGAGCTAGGTCTTCACATAACATACTCAAAGTAGGACAAGAGGCAAGAATGTCTAATTAAAAGTTTTGTGCAATTGTATCACTTGGTAAAGATATTTGGCCTCCTGGTATGCGAGTCCTAAAAACACCTCATAAAAAGTAATAAGTCATTTTTCAAAGTGAGTCTTTGATCTTGGTTATTTTTTATGCTCTCTATACTAAGCTTTATAATAATATAGTTATACACAGTAAGATACATAAAGCGTTTAACTACAATCTCAGATGGTAGTATTCATATTTCTTGCTTTAAATGACATAATATTAACAATTATTTAAATAGGTTTCATTTATTAAATATCTAATAAACGTTATAGTACATTTAAAAAATATTTCCCTCTCATGAAAAACTTAAAACATTTGTTTGAAGCTTTAACAATACTTCTAAACTAACAATAAATTCTGCATAGAGTAATGGAAAAGATTAAATGCTTTCCAGGAAACTATCTTCCTTTTCTACTTTAGGACACTTGAAAAGCTACTTTATGAGCCTTTTAAAATGTTTAATATAGAGAGCTAGTTCTAAAGGTTAAAAAAAGTAAAAAGAGGCAGTGAAATGCAATTTACTGAAAGACATTTCAAAGGAACATTAAAAAATAGGAAAAATGTTCATGCCTATTTATTACATTAAAAAACAGAAACCAGTTCAAATTGATTCTTTTATATACTCTAGGAAAGTTTCAGTGATAGAGGATTCTCCTAAATATTACCAGAGGGATCATTTAGTATTTTTACTGAGTTCTGATAATGCTTTATGTTCCTGGCAGAACTGGAAATGATGCTGGATAGGCAGAAGAGAGAAAAAGGAAAGTCCATTTATATGATAATAAATTTTACTTCCAGTAGATTTCAACATTTTAATTTTAATTTATGTTATCTCTAGTAAAGCAGATTATGTATTATTTCTCATTCATGGAACATAAATATACATTTTCCAAACATTAACTATCATGTTTAAAGTAATATTAGAATATAGAAAAGCTGATATTTTCCATTTGATTCCAACCTTTGGGGAAAAAGTTAACATAAATAGAAACAATCAATTTTATTTAAAAATAGCACCGAATTATTATTTATACATAATTTTTATTAGTAAAAGTAAATTATAAATTTAAATATATAATTTAAATTAAATTATAAAAAAGGAAATTTAAAATATTTAAGATGTTCTAAATGCTTATCATTGTCTTTGACTGATTCACAGTAACTTCAAATGATATAAAAAGGGAGTCAGAATGAAAAGCTATTCAAGGTCTATAGATCTCTGAACTGATCAATGTTCTGATGATTTCCTTTCTTTTTCTGTTGTGTACATAAATTAGTTCGACAGAATGGCCAACATTACTAATGTAGAGATGGCTTTGAAACAGATATTCAGAAACTTAAATAATCAAAGAGGATTGAAGCATTGTGTAAGTCCTGGAAAGGAAGGTACTACTAAGAAGAGATTCACAGTATTTGTCAATTATTGATAATTGAGGAACCCTGATATCATAGTGGTTAAGAGAAATTGTAGGCAAATTCTGCCCACAGTCTGGAGTTCAATCCTGATGGGGGTTCAACGTTGACTTAGCCTTCCATCGTTCAGAGATCAGTAAAATGAGGACCCAAATTGTTGGGGACAATATGCAAATCATACTGACATTGTAAACCTTCCAGAGAGTGCTATAAAGTGCTATGGGGCATATATAAATCTAAATGATATTGCTATTGTCCCAAACCAATCAGGTCATGGATTGCAATCATTATTTTAGTCTAATGTGGACTGGAAGATTTTATTTTCTTTACTTTCTTCCAAGTCTAAGGCTGAGAGTGTAAGACTGGCCTGTCATATAGTGATTTTAGCATTGTTTCCAGAATTTAAAAAGTAGATTTTTCATATTAGCTCTCTTGTCACAAAAGCTCATTTTTTGGATTCTTTTAATGTGCTAAAAAGCAGAGATACATAGATTTTTCAAAGTGAGTTCATATTCACAAGGAAAAAAAAGACATACATACATACATATATATATATACGTACGTACATACATACATATAAAATTATTTGTGACTATCCACAGTGTATATGACTTTATGTATATGTGTAAGCATATGTGTTCTTACATATATACATAATATCTGATTACGGTACCTACTGAAAGTAGTCTCAGAATTAGACAGATTTATAGGTCAAAAGCAGCATTAAATACATTTTTCTTTTTTTCTTTTTCCAGACCATACCATGGATCTTTCTTTCTTAATATCTTATAGTCATACTAATTTCTGTATCAAAAAAGACTGCTTTGAAAGTTATAACTCATTGGCAAGTAGAATTATTGCTATCTTCCTTTTAAAACGATTGTGTCTGGCTTTCCAGGGATAACTGAGGACATTTTGAAAACCCTGAAAGTATGTTTCTGATTTCCATCTGTAATTCAAAGTAAAAATAAATGAACAGCAGTGTATGATGGTATTTTTATATAACTCTGTGAAAGTGGTAAGAATTTGGCATGGAAAAGCAACTTCATTTTATTTTAACCATTTTAAATGCCCATTCCCCAAAAAGTGGCTTCTCTCATTTATCTCTTTTCTCATTTATCCTCAAAGACATTTTTTAAGAAGTTGGAAAACTTTTATTTATGTCCTCTGTATTCAATATGAATGTTAATCTAAACCTTGGTGATTTTTTTCTATGAACTGATGAACTCTGAGCAAAATAGCACAAGCATTTTGTGACATTAAAAATATACAACCATGATAATGAATCTCTATAGGATAGGCCAGATGTGGTTTCATGATGACAGACATGAATTTTATCACAGGAATTTTTTAGAATTGAAATGGAAGTCTCAAAATTCTGTTCTTTTAATGGTGCTTATAGGTTACACAATTTTACTGATGGTAATTTTGTTTGATTGTGATAACTATGAAAGATATCCAATAAATTCTGAATTAATTGCCATCGAACTGTTATACGGTACATTAACCTCAAGGTTACATACAAAAGCTTTGATTATAAAGAGTTTTTGAATCTATAAAAAAACAATAACTAAAACAGAAATGTGTTTCTCTTTGATAGTAATGAAAATATCTGGACACGTTCCTTACCTCTCCGGGGACTCTCATGGTTGAAAAGAATACCATTCACAGCAAAGAGGTTATAGGCTTCCCTGAAATTTACCACAATCCAATATGCATAGAGTTTGGCTGCCCCTGAAACAATTATTGTAATTATTTACTGAAATATTTACAAAAGTTAGCATATTCACTAACACACCCATACCAAAAAGAAAAAGCCAATAAAAATCATTTCTAAATAATTCATAAGAACACTGCCCTCAGACATGTTTTCAATTACTTGTCATCACAAACTGATGTGGAACAAAGCACTCACCAAAAAATTTGGGGGACATCATGTCCTATCATAGGTATAACTGATATTTAAGCATTAAACAAGAAAGTGGTAGAATTTTTAACCACACTATGGAATAATCTTTACTTGAACAATGTAAGATAGAAGTATTTAATTTCAGTTGGTTTGAAATTCCAGTTTCTTTTAATGCTGTCATACTTAAAGTCTCTTTTAATTCATCACTGAGTGCATGATAGCCATAAAATAAAATAAAATCCATTCAAATGATCCAAAAACATGTTCACTTGAATACCATATAATGTAGTGGTTAATCTAGTGGCCTAGGTACCAGAAGACCAGAAGTCTTCCCTTAGGCATGAAAGCCAGCTGGGTGACCTTGGCCTGGGTGACCTTCTCTCAGCCCAGACATTTCATAGGGTTATTATTGTGGAGAAAATAGGAGGAGGAAGGAAGGAGCATTAGGATAGTTGTTGCCCTTGAATTATTTATAAAAGAAAAATAAATGCAGGAAATAAACAAATAAACACACAAATAAATGAATTTAAATTTACAATTAAAAATAGAAAATAATATTGATGTTAGTTCATTTTCAGCAATGAATGATACTAGAAATCATCTAATAAATACGGTTCTTCTAAATTTTTAAAAAATTAAATACCCATACAGTGGCTAGATGCTGTTTATCAACAAACAACAAATAAATATTTCTACAATTAAAATAATTATAAGCAGATAAAATAAATGTCTTTGTGAAATTCAAACAATGGCAAGAAGATAAGATGAAGGTAATGGATTAAAAATGAAATACATGACTGCACAAAATAGAATTTTTTTTTGAAAAAAAACTTTATTTTGGCATTCTATACAAAAGCCTTTAATCTGGCAGCATCTGGACAGTGTTACCTGGCATAGAAGCTTGGATAGGAAACCTCCAGTCAAAAAAAACCCAGGAAGACACAGTAATATACCACTTTTATGTACAGTTAGTATTGTACATAGGCTACACAGATACATTAATGATATCAACAGAAATTCAACTTGAACACGACTTTAACTTTCCAAAGTCTTTCAAAACAAATAGGCTAACCCTTTAAATTACTGCACCAACAAGTAACATGTCTAATATGGATTGTAATCTCACAATCTGTGATGTTGCATTACACTATAAGAGTTCTTTTGAATTTGTCATGAAGATTAATACACCAACCATATGGAGATCTGGGATAAAATGGAGTAGTCTCCTTTTGAGGTATTTCTTGCACTTTCCCATAAAGTTCACTTGTTGAGGCTTGATAGAATTTTACAGAGTTTATAAGACCACATGTCTTAATAGCATCTAGTAATCGTAAAGTGCCAATTCCATCAACATCTGCCGTATATTCTGCTAAATCAAACGATATCTGAGGAGATACAAAAAGACAAAAATGCAAAATGAAAAGCCAAGTAGAATTTAAGGCTCAGCCAACTGGAAGGCATAGCTTGCGATATACAGGTATATACAGCAGTCTCCTTAAACACGAGTGTTTTATATCACATAATTCTGTTACTCAAATACAGTCAATTTATAACACTCTTTCTTTCATGGATCCCAGTTCTCCATCTTGGGGGAAAAAAATAGTATGTGGGGCCTTATCATTTTTTATTGTAAAATACAGATTATTTTTGTTGTGGATAATAGTAAGTTTGTTATGGATTGGTCTCTAATCAATAGAAATCAAACTGTATCAAATCAAATTTTATTCAAATTTTATGATCCAAAACTATTTTACACTTAAGAAATTTACACTTAAACTATTATTATTATTGTTGTTATTAAAAGAATATTGTACATTTCCAGAGTTTCTTATATTCATTTGCTAACCAAATAATTGTGCTTAAGGAAGCTGGATGTAAAGAGGATATTATAAATATACATTTACCAAATAGAAAGTATTTCATTCATTCATACATACATACCTACATACAAAATATAATGCCCAACAATCTTAAGGCTTCTTTTAAATTTATAGCTATTATGTTTCAATTAGACGTAAAGCTTTCTGTAACAGTGAGCTTGATTTTGATCCACAGGAAAAAAGACTTTTTGCCTTGAGACAATGACACTACCCCAAGTACATCAGTCCCAAATCCCAATCCATGCTGCACAGTGTAAGATTTATTCTCTAGAACTTTCTTTAATATTGGTACAAAAAAAACTATCTTCATTAACATGGTTAATTTTGGGGAGTTATCCTCACTTCCAAACTCAAGCATTTGATAATATAGTGTAAATGTAAGTCACGAACAATCAGGATCACACATAAGTTCCATTTCAGAAGGTTTATGCTCAAGCCTATACAAAAGAATCATGTTAAGCACTAAATTGGTGAATGGAAATGGAAAAAGTGAATGGAATTTAAGGGTGGCTGCACTTAGAATGTTTGTGGACAAGTAATGATTCTAGGCTCAGTACACTCTTAACTCTGCCCCCAGCTCTGCCTGCTCTTCTACAGCTGAGATTTCTATTTAAAAAATGTTTCAAATTTCTTAGGCTAGAAATAGAAAAGTAAAGCATAATAAAATTATGTGTTTTTCAAGAGAGGGCCATGTGACACTGAGATGCAATGATACTGATTTCACCTCTTTCCTTCTAGACTTAAATGTTGGCTGGATGCATAGGAACAAAAGTATTTTTCATCAGTAAAACCTTGCAAACTATGGGCTTAAAGTATAAACTAAACAGACAAAGCAGTAGGATATTGGAAAGAAATTTAGTATAAAGCTCCCTATTTTCCTACCATTACAGTCCCTAGGCTGATAGAAATGATGAGCCTTAATTCTCAGTCATGGATAGCGAAAACAGCATGTTTAACAATCCAAGCATCTCTCACTCAGTGAATGTCTCTCTCTATACACACCTGAGAAATAACCAAAACTTTTTTGAGCACTTTTTAAATAACAGATCACATTAAGGTTATAAATATTTATGAATGAGAGAATTACATGCTAGTCATGAACTTTGACAAGAACCATCTCTGACAGTTCCAGTGAATGACCTGAAATGTTTCTGGCATTTGTCTTATATTTGAATCACTACCAGAATCTATATTTCAATGTTTAACAGTAATCATTTCAGAAATAATATGAAAAAACCCAGTGTGATATTTTCTAGCAATAAACTCTATAATGATTATCAACCTTGATTGCAATATATTCCTGAATTCAACATAATCCTAAATGTTTTATTGAGAGATAAAGATTATTCAACATAATCCTAAGTGTTTTATTGAGAGATAAAATTATATAACGTAATTAGTTTTACAGAAATAAATTCCTTATTTTATTGCCACCACTAATTAATTTGATTGTCAGCAATATAAAAGGGATTTTATTAAAATATTTTAGAATCATAATAATTTTAATATTAGGAAAAAGTCAGGTTTTTGTAAAATGAATACTTTGCAAAATAGGTACATTTATAAAACATATTTATTTGAGTTTTCATTATCTCACCATCTCTACATTGCTGCAGTACAGCTAGGACATATAAAATTTGAAATGTAGCAGTGTCAATGATTAGTGACATTATAATGCTCTAAAATACATACATAGTGAAATCCAGCTGTGCTAAATGCTTTAAATGCTTTTTTTTAAAAAAGGCAGGGTATCTTGTAGAACTACTAAAACAAACTTCCATAGGGGAGTTGTAAAAGCATAGCCAATTGATTCTGCCTTATAGATATCATGGGAATCAATGACTGTGAATAAAATGTGAATAGAGAAATGTGACCATTTTTTTCTATTTTAACAATTTATAATTAATTTTTATGTGTAGCTCTAAGTGTGTTCAACTAAAATATATACTTTTCAATAGGTATGGTTGGTAAAAACACACATTCCCATCAAAACCCTTTTCCTGATTAGGATCAACCAAAAAGCCAGGAAAATGTTAAGGTTTTTGATTTCTCCAAAACTCATTCTTTTCAAATGCAGTTATGAAATTTTTTATTTACAAAGGGAGGGGAAAGGGAAATCAAATACTAAGGAAAGCTAACATACCTAGAACTACCAATTAATAAATACTATTTCAGAATTATAGCTGGGATCGCAGCAGACTATCAGATGGATAAGCAAAACAAATGAAATATTGAAAAAATGAAACCTATTTACAGTTTGAATTCCTTGATTTTTAAAAAATATCTGAGATTCCTCTCTCAGAAAGTATCATAATGCACATCCTTTACAGCCATTTTTACTCCATATATCTGTCACTGAATGGCATGAAAGGGCTATTCTAGCACATATTAAATAGCAAGCAAATATGTGCAGAACATATTAAATAGCAAGCTTTATATAAGACTTCTTTTTATGTAAAGAGGGAAAACTAAGTGCCTATAGAAATAAATTCCCTGGTTTCCTGAAACCTAGAATTCTAACCCCCCTCACAAACACACAATTTATTAACCTTTGGGAAAACCCAAATTTGTACCCAAATTTGGTAAACCCCAAATATGAATATCTATATCTCATTCTTAGCATCTCCTACAAATAATCTGAGCAGGAATGGTGCAGTTGAACAAAAGCTAAGCATCAATTTTAAAACAATGCAAAACTGAGTAAATGTGGAATTAGAGTATTATTTAAGATTATTATTTTTTAATCATGCCTTTTGTCCAGAAGCCCAAGACATTTCTTCTTCCCGTAACAGTCCTATGAAATAGGTTAGGCACAGTGTGAATGATTTGCTAAAAGTCAGTCATCAAACTTCTATGGTTGAGGATTGCATTGAACTTGAGTCTCACCTGCCCTAGCAAAACAGTTTTTTTAAATTATTTTTTTTTGTCATATTGGGCATTCAACCATCACACCGAAAACCAAAACAAGTTAATCATGGCAACAGAATATTCCTCAAATTTAGCTGATAACCTGATAGCTACTTTTTTGAGCCGCTAAAGGAGATATAATTTTGTCTCATACTCTTGTTCTTTAGGTTGGAAGAGTAGCTACTCAGTGGTCTACATGGTTGATGTTTTTAGCAATTTACAAATTGCTTTACAAAGATGGAAAGTAGACCTGGTCCTGGAAATGTGGGAGGAGTTTCATAAAAGGTTACTCAATCCTGAGAAAGAAGAAAAGCATGAGAAAAAAAATCAAAATGATCTGCCTCAATTTTGCTTGGTATAAGATGTAGTAGAAAGAAACGCTAGCAGGTTTCAATCATTTGTTCTGCTAACCAGGGTGTCAGCAATCCGTGGCTCTTTGGGCCCTCTGACGTGACTCCCTGTTGGGTGATCCCACCACTGGCTGGCCTCACTGCTCGCCCTCCCCTCCCAGTCACTGCTCCCCTGGCCTGAGAAGGTAAAACACAAAAAACAGAAATGGGTAGGCGTGAAGGGTGTCATGTGACCAGGTGGGAGTAACGTTAAGTTGGCCGCACTCACCTAGGTTTTATGGTCCTGGTGTTTTCTTTTCTGTGGGAAACGGGTCCAAATGGCTATTTGAGTGTTTAAGGTTGCAGACCCCTGTACTAACCACAATGATAAAGAACTCCTGAAATTGTTGTTGTTCCTATGTTCAATGTTTGCAGTTTTCTCCAAAAGTTTACCAACTTTCAATTATCAAATTTCAGGTCACAGGATATGAAATAGCCAGCAATTCAGGGACAAGCTCACCAAATGCATGTGTGAATATATGACACATTCATGAAATCACCAGGACTCAGAGTTGATTGTGCTGAGACTGTATTTTTTAAAATTCTGTAGGGCAGCGTCTCTCATCTAATGTCTTTATTTGACTAATACACATCATAGTTTAGTAAGCAATAAGAACCATCAACTATTATAGCACAGATTAAGATTATCAGTTATTCTGATTGTAGATGCATTTAATGATATCTGAGTAAAAAATACCAGCTATTTACAATCATTTTAAAAGATATTGTCGACTTCCGTCTTGAGCTTCCTCGGCGACAGAATAAAATCCGCGATCATGCGCGGTTTCAATCCATGCTCACTGCCGGAGTGCCCTGAGCTGGCTGGATTCGGGGCTAAGTCCTCCTGTAGAGGTGGTGAAGAGGGGGGAGACTGCCAGCAGGGTTGAGGAGAGCTGCATCTCTCCTCCTCAGCTGGCCATTACTCCCTTTCTCGAAGGCGGTTGCAGTGGAGATCAGAAACCTCAAAGAAGAACTCGACCGGAAAAGAATGTGCAGGAAGAAGATAAGAAAAGAAAGTTTTGGTTGACCGGGTTAAACTGAAAAAGCAACAACGTAAGGTACCCTGGAATTTGAACTATAAAAATAACATTGTTCCCAAAGAAGTCTTCGAAGCAGAGAGGAAAGGGAAAGGATTTGCCTTTTCTTTCTCCCCTTCCTTATACTGACAGCTAAGAGATTTAAGTAAGAAATTGACAAAAATCCACTTTG